CTCTAAAGCATGTTACAATTGTTTAATAAGCAAGTGAATCTCTATGTAGAGAGAAAAATGAAAAAAGACTGAGGCATAATCAGAGTTCTCTTTCTCATGTGTTTTTGCTGTACCCCATGGTACCCATCAATAAAATGTCTCCCAAATCTTACCAAACCCAGACTGTGACAAAACCTTCAGACACAGGGAGTTTGAAGGTAAATCTCTCCATGGGTAGGGTCAGGCACAGAAGGATGGACTAAGAATTAAAGTTTGGATTTTTAAGGATACTCACTTCAATTGCAAAGGAAAGAGACAGACTATTCTAAGACAGAGCCAACCTATTGCAAACACATGAGAATAAAATGCATCCACGTGAAGTTGTACTCCAGTAAAGAGGAGAGCTGTGCAGAGAGATGAGGTCAGGGACTATATAGTTCCAATGATCTACTACACAAAGCAATTTAGTATCACTTTCCAAACATAGGCTTTGACATTGGACACAATTAAACAGTAATTTAGGCCCTAATGAAGACCTAAGGTAAGAGCATTGTTTGAGAAACTTCCCATTTTGATATGGATTATTTTCAGTCTTAAAGACAAGTAAGAAAATACAGCAATTCAATCGTTCTTTAAGCAAGTTAGCAGAAAATATTTGTGAGGGGTAACCAACTCTTTCATCCTTCTCTAAAGCACAGAAGTGTATCTGATCAAAGGAAGGACTTGTTGACATTGTTATAACCAAAATACTGTTGCATAAATGCACCACGGAGGGCCTTTGGACTTACAAAATAGCAAGAATGAGAACAATTTATTTATGCTGAAACTTATCTTTCTACATTTTCAGTCTTTTTTGTATGAATAAAAACCTGTGAAAATACAATTTATATTTTGGTCAAACAGTTGAGGTCTGGATTTAGGTTTTTCCATTCAATTTCAACTGGGTGTCCCTTTTGAGGAGGTGGTCAATGGGTTTCAACCTCCCACTGCCAGAATTACCTTTCCCCACTTACTGCTCAGTTCTTTTGATTTCACTCCTGGTGGCCCTTGTCCAGACAGCCTGTTCACATTGGGACTGTCTTCCCTTTTTCTTAAAACAAAAGATCAGCCTAGCAAACAATGCTGATAAGTGTAGTTGTTTAATCATAATTGTCTAGCTACAGCTACTGATTACCAATTTTTTCAAAATAGAAGAGTTTGGCTCAAACCCTCATTCAAATCATGAAGGGCTTGGTATCCACAGCACCTTAAAAAATAAGTATTCTAATGATTGTACATACCTTGAGATAGCAATGTACTACTGTTGCCACTGCACCAAGCACTCCTAGCACAATTATCCAGATGTTACCTGAATTTTCTTTAAAAATACAAATACAAAACAGAAGTTCTTTATATCTCAAATATTCACTATTGTTCAATGAATTTATCAAAGCTATGATTTTTTTTCTAATAATCTAAATATTTTTTTCTTATAATCTAAAAGGTATGATTTAGGGAGAAAGAAAGATTAAAAGAAAACTGAGACAAGCACAACAATGTTCAGGTTACCTGACAAATAAGACATTGAAGTGATTGATACTTTACAGACTTAAGTGTGAACAGCCAAAAGCAGATTATTTTACTTAACTGTGCAGACAGCAAATTCCATGTGTGCTCATGGGATAGGATTTGACAACTTCTTAATACAAGTCCCATTTAAAACAAATCAGCTGCCCAGTGTGCTGAACACTTTGTCCAGGGGCAGTGCTCAGTGCCATTAACAGCACTGGGGATTTACAGTAGAGCAGGTCTGTTAATGTTCTCCAGCCTGGATCAGAAATTTCATTACTCTGGCTGCAAAATCTTTGCAACTTTAATCTGAAACAATGCCCAGCCTCATAGTGCAACCATGCAATCCAGGTGGACACAGGAAATCCTGAGATGAGTGATAACCATGGATTCCACAGGAGATCAAAGCCCAGCTAGAAGAAACCTCTGCACAGCACCAAACTGTCAGAAGAACTGCATGGTTCTTCTACCCCAGGCTATCTTTCCCCTGCTGTGTCTTGTCCAAAGAATTTGAAAAATTCTGTATTCCTCTGGAAATATCCTATAGAACTCTGGAAAACAGCTAAAAAATAAGAGCTGCTAAGACAGAGCATTTAATCTAGTCATTGTCTTTACCATGGCTCTGTAACCCCATGCCTATGTTCACATCTTGTCAATTCCTTTAGAAGAGCAGCAACTCTTCTTTATGCAGGAGAGATGATTGTAAATTCATCTTTTTCCCTCTCAAAAGCCTTCTTTCCAGTGCACCTTGGAAACCCTTCTGATGGCTCAGGAGCTGCTGTGCCATGACTGTTATCCAACATGGTCTAGCCCACTCCCTACTGTCTTCAGCTGCTTCTCTGCTTTCAGGCTGTGCTGAAAGCTACAAAGGTGCTCATCTGTAGTTGTTATTACTTATTCCACCCCCTTTTCTGTTATATTGCCTCTATTTTTTATGTCTTAGTGCCTTGCTTCAAGTTCTCTTCCTTGTTTAGGAAAGGAGCCCTATATTATTTCTCAGTCTTTTAGGTGACTGTATTTAATTGTGTGAAATGTCCGTGTGCTACTGCTGTATGTGCTACTGACAATGAAATAACTGTAACTAAGATTTCACAGCTGGGAATTTACTATAGCTCATAAAAACACAGGAATGCATTTAAACATATATATCCCCAGGCCTAAAAAAGGCCTGGTGCGTAATACTAAAGCTTTAAAAATAACAGCTCCATATTCTCAATAAGATTTCTTCTGCAGCCAAACTTACACCACATGCTTTGGGCTTCCCATCATCTTTCTGCTACATTTAAAGCTGTGTTTGCTGTCAGCAGAGCTTTTAGGACAGAATTCTGAGAGCCCTGCTATGACCTCAGTTATGAGAGCAGTTGGTAGCAACTGAAGGCAGCCAATGATTTTGTAACCTTTGCCACAATAAGCTGCTGACTGAAAAACTTCTAGTCTTTAAATAAACACATCTTCAGTAAATCTTTTTATCCCCCTGAGCCAACAAAAATAAAATATGTATCTCTTTCCCAAATGTACCCATCACACAAAGATGTTTTTTCTCAGTATTGTATAGATTTCTGTTTGACTCTTTGGCTGTGCATTGTCCTATCTGTCCTCATCTTCTGAAAGGAAGGAGCAGCAACTTAACAATGTACAAAGTTCTCACAGCAAGTTTTGTGCAGGGAGGTGTTGAAATATTACACAGATATTCTCCACTGTCACCTGCAGCAAGATGATCCAACATCAGTGAAAAGTAATTCTCCTTAACCTGGATTTGAGGCTGGTGAGAGTGAGGTGTGCTACTGAAAGAGGCCAGGATGAGGTCACTGCATTTCTGTGTAATGTCCAGACAGCACTGAAACCAATCAGTGCTTGCAGTGTCATTGCCCTGTTCACAAGGAATTATGGTGCTACCTCCTTCCACATTAAACAGGTGGTCTGAAACAGATAAAGAACTCTCTGCACTTTTTTTTTTGGAAAGTACTGTTAAGGTTATTTAGACATTTTCTGATTTTTTTCCTGAGGTTTGATTCTACCATAAACAAATACAAAAACATATTTCACTACTTTGATATTGTATTCAAATATCACAGTATGTTTCTAGAAGCATCTGAAGATTTTAAAAACAAACCTATTTTACCCTAAAAAATCTAATTGGTTTTGGGAATATTTATGAAAATCTTTTTTTTTTACTATTTTTCCCCTAATTAAGGGCCCTCATTAATAGTGATTCAGTCTAGTCCAGGTTACTGTGTAAAACAGCAGGAAATTTCACATGCTGGGAGCAGAGAGAAAATGCAACTGATCAGATACCTGCACATCTGAAGCAAAATGATAAAACACAATGTAATTTAACTAAAAGAATAAGAAGATTATATGTAGCTAGAAATAACTTTTAGCTGTGGTGAACTTAAATACTTTACTTGTCTATGTTGAACATTCAACAATTAATTAATAGCTTTAAAAAACAGGAAAGGGAAGGAGAAGGCAGGTAAGTGGAATTAATACCCAATATATAAAATACTAATACAAGACAAATTAACATCATAGTACAACTACTGATTTGACAGCAGGCTTTGACAGCAGTGGTGGATGGCAGTCAGCTGGAGCAGAAGATAATAGATTATTTTGATACAGTATAACTACACTTGCTTTCTGTGGGGGGGTTTAATGAAGAGATGTGTGGGGCTGAAAAATCATGAAGACAAAAAAACCCAAAATTGTACCCCACGCTGCTATTATAGAAACAAAAAGAAAGCAGTTTGTTTCCCAAATATTCTGCTGAGGGTTTAGATGGATGCAGGGAAATGCAAATACATGTGTAATGAAATGTACTTCTTGTGGATCAGAGGCATAAATAACAAAACAGACACAGTGCACTTGTTGGCTACTATGATGCCATACTTGAAACCTTCCATATTGTAAACTATTTCATGGAAATTAAAAACTGCACTCTTGTTCTGGAGCTTATACAGTGGGTTAGGAACTGAGAGAGTCTGGGTACCCTTCAGGGGGTAATCAGGGTGATGGAACCATCCATGCACATCTCACAAGGGAACTGTTCTTGCATTGCTCTTCTTTCAATTAAAAATATTTCCTAAGAAACAGGAGAGGTTGAAAAGCACCAATTATTCATTTGAACTGAATTTCCAATGAAAATCAGGAGGAAGACAAAGCAGAGTTGAAATTTCATAGTCCTGCTTTTCCTTAACTATGAAAATGAGCTGCTGTTTGCTAAAATGCAAACTGTTTGCTACTCTCCATTCCCATTCACCCCAGAACTCAGACTGGTACTTAAGGATGTACGTGAAGAGAAGTACAATGAAAAGATCAAGCAGTACCAATAAAAGTCTGGCAAAAAAATTGGAAATGGACAGAGTAAAGATCATACTCAGCTAGAGCAGCAGGAAAACTTTCACCTCCCTCACAGAACCCACATACTCTCTAAGGCCTCCATGTATTTTGTCCAATAAGCAAAATTCTTTTATTGATAGAGGGTAAAGTTTGTTTATTTGGCATCTCTTAAAATGTGAAACTGATATAGAGAAGATATTAAGAATAAAGGCAACTTATAGAAGGGTGAGCTAGCCCCTCTCATTCCTACTTCTTGGAAGGAACTTGTAATGCTGCCTTGTAATCCTAACAAATGCCTTTCAAAGAGAAAAGCATTTCAAAAAAAATTTCAAATATCCTTTTGCACTGTCCCATATCTATGTTGCCCCACTGCAGAAAGATTGTCTTTAGTTTGACTCTGAAACCAGCTGTGAAATTCAGTAACAATGCAGGAAGAGATTTCATTCCTATCTTGCATCTTCCATTAAGCAGCCCACACTTCATGATGGAAATGAATATGACAGTAGTATCTGTAATGTTTATAATGTCCTTGTCACTTCTAAGAGAATAGAGAACTCCACTCCTAGTTTCCTCCCAGTCTGTCTCTTAGATAGATATACTGCCTTCTACCCAAGATATATTTGGTGCTGGATAAGTGAGAAAGGCATGGCACTTCAGTCTCCTTTCTGTGTTTGTCTTGTTGTATTCCAGTACATAAGAAGAAGGAACTGTAGATGAAAAAAAAAATAATTAAAAAAAAATAAATCCTACTACTTACAAAATAGTTTTTAACTTGAAGTGATTGCTCTTTTGAAATACCATTGGGGAGAATAAATACAGCTGAGAATTAAACTTAGTCTGTGTTTGATTTCAGAAAAAGCACAGCTACTTACAATGCCAATATTTGTATTGTTCTGAGAAGCCACATTATGTGTACCACAAAATTACCCCTTAGAAATCAGAGGGCGGTAGGTTATGAAAACAAGTGCTGCACCAAAATTTTCAAATCCATTTTACAACATTTCACCAGAGGAAAAAAAAAATTGCTTTGTAACACCAAAAGGTGCTCTGCTGGGTTGGAGGATTTTGATTCCTTGGGGAAAAACAACACAAGGAAATCTGTTGTTGGCATCCAATTTGTGGTGGTGCAATCCAGCAGTTTTTGATGTCTTACTGAGCTCTCATGCATAGCAGCACTTCCACTTTTGTTCCATCTTGTGCTGTTCCCAGGTAGCAGGTATCAGAGCTCATGGTCAGGTTAAGTTTCAAGGAGGCATTTCCACTAGGGATGTTCTCCTGGAAAAGGTGTGCTCTGAGTCTGTAATGTGGATCTTGTTCTTCCAGCTGATCCTTCTGCTGGTAGTAACTGTGCACTTTTTTGTTCTCTTTGCTCCAGTGTATTACTTCATCATGCCCAGGTGGGAAATGACACAGGAGGATACAATGCTTGGAAAACAGTCCTGTTACTTCTTCCTGTTCTGTAAAACCTAAAGCCCATAAGTACAAATGAATAAATTTAACCCAGTCTACAAGTATATTTCTGCCCTCCTTTATCCCTGACAAAAAAATGCTCTTGCAGTTGTGCCAATGACTCTTTCATGACTTTTCTGTCATATGAATCTCTCGGGATAGCAAGAGTGTCCATTCAGTTTAATCAGGACTATAACACACAGCTCTGCTCTTTGAACTTCTAATCTGTTCATGTAGAAATCCCAAGTAAGCACCTACACATTCAAATCAGCACATTGCCACCTTACCATCTGAACTTCACACCTTGTTTCCACACCTTGAACCACATCTTTTCCACCTTAGACTTTAAAAGCCTTTTGAGCTGTGACTTCCTACATGTTCAAACATTCACAGTGCCATGCTGCAATGCCCACATAGTGCCAAGCAGTTGTACCATCAAAGGAAAAAAAGACATAGCACTGCAACAGTCGGGAAGGACAGAACTTCTTGAAACAGCTTTGCCACCACAGACACCATCAGGAAGCTCTGTCCCAGCCCCTCGAGATGATTAAGGTGTGCATTCCACAAATTCATACAAGTGGCAGCATCTCATTTCCCTCAAAATTTAACTTAGGCATTGCTGGCATACAAGAGCAATTTAAAATTAATATTTTAAAGAACTGACTGCATTGACTTAGTGTCATCATGTCAACCTTCTTGGCCAAGCTCAGACAAGCTGTTGTGCTGGTAGTAAGTACCCAGGGGCAGCTGCCTTCTCAGACATTCTGATGCCCTCTCCAGCTCACCTGGCAGAACAATCCAAATGACCTTTCCTTAGTCTTATCAATGCAAAGTAAGCCAATTTTCTGCAAACCAATTTCATTCTGAACTGAAAAGCACTGCCTGCTGAGCCATGGGGCAGAAACATTGGCAGGTAACGGTCTGGGGGCCAAGGTGCCCAATTGCCACAGCCATTGACAAGCACTTTTGCTTCAGAAGGGTTTTATATTACCCAAAATCATTTTTTTACCATTAATAAGTAGTGTTTGAATTCATTAACTCTCCTGAATAAAAATTAGTAATCATGGTCTTCTTTATTAGTTTTCAGCTAAAACCTACCCTAAAGCGTAGCACTGATGTGAAATAAACAGATCATAACAGCTGGTATGTTCTGTCCTTCCATTTCTTCATTGGTTTAGATTCATGTCAAACTGGCAAAGTAAAAGCAGGGGAGAAGACCTGTATAAATGGACATCAAAGACATGCCCATATCACAATTTCCTTTCTACAGCTTGCTAAGGATAATGGCCTTTTTATCACATTTTTTGTTTGCAACAGACTGGTGCAGTTTTTTGGCCTTAAACTCATCCATTATATGATCCTATGCATTACATAATGGTGGAGGCCCTCTCATTACCTTGTAGCCCCTTGCAGATTGATATTTTATTTTTAATAAATAGAAAGTATTTACTCTCAGTGTTGTTGCAGGGCTAGGGAATATTAATCTTCTTCATTCCTGAACGGGACACCAAGGAAAACTGGTCAAGTAAAATTTGTAAAAGGATATAAGATGTCCCTCATCAAGCCTGATTTTCTTTACTTTTTAAAATATTTTTCTGATTACTGCAACATTTGACTTTCTGGGGTGGGAAACTTCACTGCATTTGCAAATACTGCCAACATAGAGAACTTTTCACACTTTTTACCCTTTCAAAAATGGAAATCTAGGATAGGAATGCAAAGGAGGAGGAGACTCATCATATCTTCTGTTTTGTCAGACAACAATGAACTGCAAACTCTCATGCATAGCAGAAAAAGCATAACCTTACTGTAACTATTACCTGAGTGGAGGAAGAATGCAGTCTTATTATCCTAAAATACAGCATATGCCAGTGGAAAAATTATCTCATGAGTCAAGTTACTTAAAAAGATTTTAAGGGATTTTCCCTAGTCCTTTTTTACTCCCCAAAAGGCAGCTGTAGGTACCATTTCTACACAGGACACAGATTTAGCCAGGCTTGCTACCCAGACCTTTTAGTATTATGAATAATTTTGACTGGTGTGTGAGACTGTATCTGTGGTAGATGTGAATCTTAAATCCCAAAGATTTTTGAGTATTATTTCTTCTGAAAATCTAGTTTTATGATTGTTTTATGTATTCTCACTATTCTTTTAGGAGAAAAAACCAGAACAAAACAAAAAAAGAACAGAGGCATGAAAACATTAAATCTGAGACAGAACTAGATGCAATGGTAAAATAAACATATAATTTTGTTCTATGTCAGCAACCATTGCCAGGAACTACCTTCTTCACCCCCTGCATTGCCAAGTGGGGTACATCATGTTTTACTGGATTTTTTGCTTATTTACCTACAACTTCCAACTTGATCACCACAATATACCGTGCCTGATGTTTGAATTTCAGAAACTGCAATCAGTGCTGTATTTCCCTTGAGAGAAACACAGGGAGGGATCTGCCATGTTTAATTGACAGTTGCCTTTCATTGGCAGCGATGCTCAGAGTGACATGGTTCCAGTGGTACCTCTGTGATGCCTTTGGGGGCTGCATGGCACAGTGCCTCCCACCTTCCAGCTGTGCCCCATAACCCTGCTCCAAAATACACAGCTACAGCTACTTAGCTGAAAATTTTCATGTTCAGCACAAACCTTAGTTTTGGATCTTCTCATCAGAGAAAAATGTATGCTGGTCTGTAGAAAAATGTGAGGACTGTAGGTTCTGGCCAGTCTTTTCAGCCAGTTCTGGGGTTTTACAGGAATAAAGAGTGTGTATGCTGATAATTAGAGTCACACTGCAAAGTACTGAACAAACATGCTTTTCCTGTTTGTCACAGATGTAAGTGGCACAACCAAGAAATCGTGCCCCGAGGCTTTGTAGTGAAATATCAATATGAAATTATGTATACAGACAGTGCACAACTAGAATTAAGATCACTGGAGTCATGTTAGTCACTGATGCTCTAGTTCTCAGGAGAATTATTTCATACAGAATCACCACAGGCTTGACTGGAAAGCAGTTCGGCCACGGTTTCTGAGAGCAAGGCAAGGTGCTAAAATGCATCTCCAAAGACATACTGAATAGCTCAAATAAAGGTAGGGAGAATGCAGCATTTGGCCACTACAGGAAAAGAACACATGCTTGCTTTTTCTTCTGTTACTCAGTGACCAAAGGGTATCCAAATATTTCCTCATCTTTGAGCTTTGCATTCAAGTTGAAACCTGATCACAGCACTCCTGCAGCAAACAGCCATCAGGATTGGTGGCTGCTCAATGTACTTTCCTCTGTGACCTCTTTGAGATAAGATAGGCATATTGAAATAACCTTCTTTCAAATAAAATTTATATCTTTGTACTTCTGATTAATTCATTTTCAATGCAACTTAACAACAACAACACACACACTTATGAGGACTGGGAAATACCAGAAGATTTTAAAACAGAGGAGGAATTCTCTGCCTCCCCACAATGAAACCCTTACAACTTAAATGCTAACTTCAGTTGTTGAGAAATACTCCCAATGGAAGAAAGTTTCCACAATCTAAAGGTCTCTCCCTGCTGAACTTTGCCTCTCTCCAGCTGCACTCTGAGCGGCCCACCTGCATGGCACAGGGCTCAAGTAACCAACATACAAGTTTGTGTCCATCCTATTAAAGGGAAGCAGCTGTTTCTACAGTAAGAGCTACAACTTAACACACATGAAGATTTCACAGCTTTTGTGTTCCCATCTGTGGGCTTAAAAAAACCTTTTCTCTTAACCATTTCTTTTGCCTGGCAAACCCAAAGCTCCTGCAGGCTGTAACAGAGGAGATAAGTCAGCAATATGATGCTTGCAGCAGCCACGATGCCGCTCAGACACATGTAGCGAGGTCAGTTCTCTGCAGGCACAGGAGAACAAGAACATAAGGTAAAAGTAATCACGACACTCTTCTCAAAAAGTTGGTCACCCGAAACAAATAGGTGCCTAGAGCTGCCTGCAGGGTTAGGTAATTATTTTCTAACAATATTTTAGCAGTGACTTTTTCTCTCTGAACAATTCAAGACTTGCATGTGCCATCTGGTTTCCAGCAGAACAGAACGACTCAAGTATTTTTGGGAAGAGGGCTTACAAAAAACCCCAAATAAAGTGCAGGAAGAAGTGGCAAGAATGCGTGTCTCCCCTCAAAGACCTGGTGCCAGGAATACACAGGTGAGGTGTGTCTTGCATTCACAGAATTATTTTGGTCGCTAAAGGCCTCTGAGATCATTGAATCCAACCTTTCACTGATAAACTCCTCAACTAGACCATGACATGGACACGTCCAGTCGTTTCTCGAACACTTTCAGGAATGTCTTTTTCAGGTGATGTCCCTGGGCAGTTCATTGCAATACTTGAAAACCACCTCAGTGAGGAAATCCCTGCCAATATCCGATCTAAACGTCCCTTGGCGCAGCTTGAGGCTATGTCCTCTTGTTACTAGTTAACTGGGAGAACAGGCCGATCTCCACCCAGCTACAACTTCTTTTCAGGGACTTGTAGAAGTGGTAAAGTCTTTCCTGAGCGGCTTCTCATGGGAGCCGCACTTCACACCCTTCACCAGCTCCAGTACGCTCCCCTGGGCACGCTCCAGCACCTCAAAGTGTGTCTGGTAGTGAGGCGTCCAGAGCTGGACACAGCACTCGAGGTGCCTCACCAGTGCCAAGCACATTGCCGAGGAGCTTTCCCACCC